TGTATAGATTAAAAGCTCTATATAAAAATATGTAGGGCTCGGGATTTAGCTCAGTGGCAAAGCGCCTGCCTCGCAAGCGCAAGGTCGTGAGTTCGGCTCCCGGTACCGGAGAAAAACCAAAAAAAATAAAAAGTAAAAGAATAAAAATAAAAATATGTAAGGCATTGATTACAGGAAGCACTGAAGGAAATCAAATACAAAAGGTATGCAAGGTTTTAACATTTGCTTAGTCAATACTTAAAATCAATTGGTCAAAAAATCAGCAGGAAGAGTTATCTCCAGACTGTTATTTTGTTAAAAATACAGCAACAAAAGTAAAATAAACCAGTAATAGTTGAAAAAAAAATAAGGAAGAGAACCCAACTACAAAAAATGATAAAAGCGGAAAATAACAGAAAATTAAGCAAGTTCTAGGGTAATACTCCATAAAACTGTATACAATAAAATTTAAAATTTTTAAGCAAAGTGTGGTGGTATATATCTGTAATCCCAGCACTCTGGAGGCAGAGGCAAGAAGATCACAAATTCAAACCCAGCTTGTGCAATTGGCAACTTGGCAAAAACTTACTTCAAAATAAAATAATTTTTAAAAGCTGGGCATGTAGTTCATTGTAATAGCCCTGAGTTCAATCTCTCTTACCACCAAAAAAAAAAAAAAAAAATTGATGGGTGATTTTGTGAGAAGATATCAAAGTTGATCCAAAGATAGCAGAGCCAAGGAAGTCATTAAGAATGTTGTCAAAAAGTAACCAGCCAGGGACTGGGGATATAGCTCAGCAGCACAAGCACCTGCATGGCAAGTGTGAGGTCCTGAGTTCAATTTCCGATACCAGAAAAATAAATAAATACATAAAAATTTAAAAAAAAATAAGTAGGATTTAAAAAAAAAAAATAACCAGCCAGACACACTCAGGAATGTATGCTTTCAAAACTTTAAGAATCTAATAGTTCCCCTGCAAAAGAAGAACCTAATAGTCCCATAAGAAAGGGAATAGTAAAAAGGGAAGAAAAACTGTACTTTTCCTTTTATGAATTCAGTATACTACCTATAACCAAAACCTCACAAAGCACACAAGAAAACTAACCATACTAAAGCAAAAATCCTAAATATGTTGGTATGAAAAATCTAGAAATACATAAAGCCTAGTAAAGGTTATTATAGTGATGTTAAGAATGGTTCACTATTAGGAAATCTAGGAAAATATTTTACTATATATTGAGTAAGTCAGCAACAACAAAGATTTTTAAAGAGGCAAAAGTATCTTCCTGATTTCTATGGCTAATAACATAAAAAATACTAACACCTATATCTAAAGTATAAGGATATTTGCAATATCATTGTTAAGTATTTTAAAATCCATTCATCAGGTACATACAATGGAATACCAAATAACCATACATAATTGCAGAATATCAGTAACGCAAGAAAAGTAAACTAAAAGAATAAACACCAAACTAAGCAGGGTGTGGTGGTACACGTCTGTAATGGGGGGGGTGGGGGGGCACTGAAGCAGGAGGATTGCTACGAGTGCAAGGCCAGCCTGGGCTACAAGTGAATTCAAGGCCAGCCTGCACTGCATAGTGAAACCCTGTCTCAAAAAAAAGAACATCAAACTATTATAAAATTTGTTCCTGGACATGTAAGATTTTACTAACAAACTTGCTTACTTTTAAAACGGAGGTAGAAGGGTAATTAAGGAAAATTCTCATTTTGTCTCCATCAGCCAAGCAGTAAGAATATGGAGGAGAGTTTAGATCCATGAAGGCCATACAAAATGGCAAATGAAAACAGTAATATTAAGGAACAGAAATGTAAGTAAAAGCCACATAAACAGGAAAAGGAAAAGTTAAACAATGGTATACACAGAAAGCATACAGGAGAAAACGGTAATAGCTTAGAGTGAGATGATGAGCCTACCACTATTCAACACAATGTGTACTCTTATTAAAACACTGCCAATGAAATACTCCGTAAGAATTCCTCATTAGGCACATTGATGCAAACTTGTAAAACCAGCTACTCAGGAGCCAGAGGTAGGAAGACTGTTTGAGGTCAGCCTGGGCAACTTAGTGAGATTCTGTCTTATATTGAAAAAAAAAAAAAAAAAAAAAGCTAGAGCTGTAGCTCAGTGATGGAAGGCTTACGAAGCATGTGGGAACCCCTAGGTCTAATCCCTAGAATCATAAAAATAAGTACGTAAAAAAGAATTCCTTGGATTTTAAGTTACACTCTTACAGCACTACTGCAATCGCTTTTCAATCAACCACTGGCCTCAAGTGAAACAGCTGATTATAGACAGACATACTATACCATGCTGCCATCTGCAGAGCAGACTTAATACTAAATTTTCCACTGAAAATATGCTGTCTGTCAAGGCACTAAGGTACACAATGAAGAGACTAAAAGAAGTGGTATGATTACATTAGGAAAAAAGAGAGACAGACCAGAGAGATGGTAAGAGTGTCACGAGACAATGTCTAAAGTTGAAAAAAATCAAGAAACAACATTAGCATATTGTTTAGCAATATGGAAAAACACCAGAACCCCAAATAAAATGAGGTAAGCAACTACCACAAACAAACAAACAAAAAAGGATAGTAGGGCTAGAGGAAGCACAAGCATAGCTGTTTTTTATCCTAAGATCCTACTATAAGAACATGTGAGACTTGTGCTAAGTTATTTTTTAAGTACTGCTTATTTTTTTCAAAATGTAATGCGTTATTTCTTGGCAGTTTTATATTTGTTTTGTTTTTAACTTAGAAGAATCAAGTATTTTTAGAAGTAAATTAATTTGACAATTACAAAAAGCAAAATATATAGGAACAAGATTTCACGTATAGGAAAGTAAAACCACAAAACTGCTATGGGGATGGCTGTCTGCTCAATGCTTTCCTTTTCCCAGTTACGGCCAACTGATCCCATGTCCCCCACCTCTGAGATCTTCATCAGAAGTCACCTCTTCAATAAAGGCTTTTCTCTGTATGTGTATTACAATATCACACTATATCTCATAAATATGTACAATTACCACATGTTAAAATGTTTTTTAAAAATGTTTAAGGATATGTAAATATTAACTAGCCTTAGTTGATTATACTCATTATACTCTATACCCAGGTATAGAGTACCTCATACGATTAAAATAATTTTTAAAATAAAACTAAACTTGCAATCATAAAAAAATTGCTAGGAGGCACCCACAAACTTTGCTCAGTAGGCAGCTACCACTGCAGCATGCACCGAAGTAGTTCACTACCTCTTTACGTAAAAAGTATACCTCATTATTAGAAAGAGTATGTTACAGTTTATGTCTGTGTGTCCCCCCCCAAAGCCTCCTGCAGCCCTGGGGCAGGCTATTAGAGTTTGAATATGGGTGTGAGAGCTACACCCGCCCTGGGGTGGATAGTTTGCATATGTAAGGGAGAGGAGGAAGCTGCTTGGGGAGATTCCTCCCTGATTCCGCTCTGGTGTGTGTGTCCTGGTAGTTACTTAGCTGTGTGCTGCCGCCCTGAGATGCAGCCCTCTGCCACGTGACACTCTGCCTTATAATCATGCCTAGTACGGATTGAAACTTCCACAAACTGTAAGCGAAATAAACCTTTCCTTCCTTAAATTTGGGCGTCAGGTATTTTGTCCCAGCAGCGAGAAAAAAGTAACCAAGACAGAGTAACACTGAGAAACTAAGTGTCCTATAAATTTCTACTTAACAAAACATTTATTAGCTGGGTGTGGTGGTGTACACCTGTAATCCCAGTACTCAGGATGCTGGGGCAGGAGGATTCCCATGAGTTCAAGGCCAGTCTGGGCTACACAGTGAATTTAAGACCATCCTGAACTATATAGGGAGACCCTGTCTCCAAAAGAAAAATAAATAAATAAATTGACAACCAACTCTACATGAGGGTTCTTGATCAGGATTTTCAAAAACACACCTTCTATTTCCTAAGACAAATTATGGCCTTCAAAGTAACTTCAGCCTGACTAAAGCCCTAGCTACTAGCACAGCTGAGTATCTTTAGGCCAGACAATGTATAAAAGAAAAACTCAACGTTATTGTACAAATTACAAAATCAGAATCAAGACATTCACTGGCTACTAAAGAGACAAGACTTGTAAGTCAATGGACTCTTTATAATGCCTTAAAGCAACAACATGACTACTGTGTAGGCCAACTGCAATTCTCTATTTGGAGTCTACTATTATTATACCCTCTGTGCTACTACATATAATTAGATATTTTACTGCAGGTATCATTTTGAAATTTTATAATTAAACTGATATGTAATTCTTGTCATTTTATAACATTTCAGTGTAACACAAATTACAGTAAATTACCACTATGTTTGCTTAAAAGGGAATTTCTACTTGACGAAATTTCTTATCACTAATCCCTTATTTATATTTTACATGACTAATATTGACAAAATATTTATATCTAAATTCCAGAATATATCTATCCTCATTCCTTTTCGCCAATAAATTTTCCTACTCTTAAAAAATAAATAAATATACATTTAGAATATCAACATAGCTTAGCACCCACGTCCACAAATACCAACAAAAAAGTTGTCTTCTTCCTAATCCAACCTGATAGTTACAAGATTCTTAAGTTAAAAGAGTACCAGTCACCAATAAAAGTTTGGTCTTTTTTCCCATGCTACATCAAACATTTCTGTCAAAATATGAAGTGACATTCATAGAATTACAAACATAAATAAACTCCTGTTTAGTATAGTTAAACTATAAACACAAGAAATTATGAACTGCTAAACTGTGATTGCAAGTACACTTAATCTAAAATTTTTCAAATTGCATCCTAAGAAACAACAAGTTCAACATGGGCGCTATTACTTATGTTCTAAAGAGATAACAATGCTAATAAAAAAAGCAGTATTATAGCATTTAAATTGCAACTGTAATAGGAATGTTACAAATTTTATCAACATAAAGTTGTCATGTATTTGCAAACTATAGGAAGTATCTATACAAAACGGCTCACCTTCATCCACAGAAAATTGACAGCTCTTATCATTGAAGAAAAGTATTTTCTTCTTATCAGGTCGGTTTACGAACAGTATCTGGTCCCCCAATGCCTTAAAGATAAAGAAAGATGCTTTTAGTTAATTCCAAATTACCTCATGATGGCTGGACAACAACAAAGGCGCCAGGCTTGAAGGACTCCTATCTTTTGTTTTGTTTTGTTTTGTTTTTGCCAGTATGGGGAATCAAACTCACAACCTTGAGCTTGCCAGGCAAGCGCTGTGCCGCTGAGCTAAATCCCCAGCCCCTGACTCCTACCTTTTAACCTTTGGTGTACCACGAAGATCCGCTGGGTCAAGTTTTAGTTTTCCAGTTTCTTTTCTGAGTAGTTCTATTTTTAAGGATTGGTATTTTAATGCTCAGAAATTTAGCAATCTTCTAAAGAATACAAAGAAACTTTTTCTAGAGACAGGGTCTGCCAGGTTGGCCTCAAATTCATGGTGATCCTCCTACCTCAGCTGAGTGCTGCCATTACAGGCATGTACCACCATACCCAGCTTAGGAACTTTTTTTTAAAAAGACAAACAATTATTATTTTGGTCCACTATACCTTTTTATTAATCTAAGATACACTGTGGGATCTTAGTGTTCTTATTTTCCATTGAAATATGTTACTACTTATCATTATTCATCAGTTATTTCCCATTATGCTTTTAAAATGATAAAATATTAACATGGAAGACTGAAGTCTGAGGCACCAGGCGTGGTGGCACACTCCTGTAGGCTGAGGCAGAAGGATTGCTGTAAGTTCAAGATGAGCCTGGGCTACAAAATGAGCTCAAGGCCAGCCTGAACGGCATAGCAAGAACCTGTCTCAAAAAGACAAAACAGGGGCTGGGGATTTAGCTCAGCGGCAAAAGCGCCTGCCTGGCAGGCGCAAGGTCGTGAGTTCGGTTCCTGGTACCGGAGAAAAACCAAAAACCAAAAACAAAACAAAACAAATCAAAAAGACAAAACAAACAAACAAAAAAACAAAAAAACCAGAAGTCTGAGGCAACTGTGACATTAAAAAGCCTTCTTCTTCTTTTCCGTTCATTTGAAAAAAACACATGTATTCCAACTTCAAAATTGTAAATTTATTTTGGATAACCTCTAACTCTGCTTTCTGCTTATTCTGTTGCTGTATAATTAGATACCTGATGGTAGTATTTTTATCGAGTTGAAACTGTATAGGCTTTTAAAATAAAGACACTTTAGGGGAGGAAAAAACCTTCAGTCTCTTCTTTGACGTACCCCAAATACTGCATCATATTTCAAGATATGAAAGACTGGATTAAATATGAAAAGAACCTTGAAGATACTGCTGAAAGAAACTGAAGACACAAATCAAAAGATATCCATGTTCATGGACTGAAGAACTTCATTAATAGTAAGATGTCAATACTACCCAAAGTGAAGAAGGGAAGGGACAGAGCACAAGGGGAGGGATGAAAAAAAATTAACATGTTATATCAACTCCCCTGTTGAAAGCAATCATTGTACTGCAAATATGTATTAATAAAAATAAAAAAAATACCATCCAAAGTGATTTAACAGATTCAATGTAATCCCCATCAAAATTCTAAAGGCATTCTTTGCAGAAATAGAAAAATCCATCCAAAACTTATATGAAGTATGCAGGGACCCTAAATAGTCAAACTAGTCTTGAAAAAAGGATTTCACACTTCATGATTTCAAAACATATTACAAAGCTACAGTAATCAAAACATTATAGTGTTGGCACAAAAATAAACCATTAGACGAATGGACCAGAAGAGAGGACCAGAAAGAAACCTTCACGAATATGGTCAAAACAAGGTGTCAAGATCAGTCAATGGGTAAAGAACAACCTCTTTACCAAATGGTGCCAAAAACTAAATGTCTGCATGCGAAAGAATGCAGCAAGATCATTATCTTACACCATATATAAAGTTAACTCTAAGTGGATTAAAAAAACCAAACTAAAATGCAATGACATTAGGCACAAGGCACAAAATCAAAAGTAGACAAATGGAACTACATTAAACTCAAACACTTTGTATCAAAGGACATAATCAACAGAGTGAAAGGCAACTTACCAAATAAGAGAAGAGATTTGCAAACCACTGATCTGAGAATACATTAATACCCAAAATACATATAAAGAATTCAACAACAGAAAAACCAATTTATAAATGTACAAAGGACATGAACAGATATTACTCTAAAGATAATAAAAAAATGTTCAATAAGCATATGAAGATATTCAACATTCCTAGAGAAATGCAAATCAAAACCACAATGACTTATCATCTCACACTCATTAGGACAGCTAGTATTGAAAATAACAAGCATTAGCAAAGATACTGAGAAACTTGAACCTCTATGCTCGCCTGGGACTACAAAACGGTATAACTACTATGTAAAACAATATGAATTTCTCAAAAAAAATTTTTAAAAATCTACCATATGTAGCAGCAATCCTACTTCCAAGAATATATATACATCAAACTTCAAGTAGACTCTTGAGCAGAACTGTTCGCACTCAAGTTCACAGTGGTATCTGTAAAGGCCGGAAGGTGGAAGCAACCCAAATATCCATCACTGGACAAGAGGATAAACAAAATGTGGTAAGCATATACAAGAGAGTATTATTCAGCTTTAAGAAGGAAATCCTGATGCATGCTACAACACAGATGAGCATATACTAAATGAAATAAGCCTATTAGAAAAAGACAACTACTAGATAATTCCATTTATGAAGCATATAGAATATTCAAAATAAAGCAGAACGGTGGTTGCAAGAGACAGTGGGAGAGACAGAAAAAGGAAATAGTTTGTTAAGGAGTAAAGAGTTTCATTTTTGCAAAAAGTAAAATGTCTGGGTATCATTTGCAGCACATATGAATATATTTGCTAGTGAGCTGAATACTTAATAATAGTTAATATATTAGGATGGAGTGCTCAAGTGCTGTCTTCAATCCCCAGCACTGCGCTGCACTACACACACACGAACACACACACACACATATTAAGCTGTAAAATATTATGTGGTTTTTACCACAAATGAACTTTTCTTTTTAAATTTTACAAAAAGAACCTCAGAGATGGCAGAGCTGTAAGCAGCAACAGATCAACCTCTCCAAGATGCCAAATCCAGACAGTGAAGAACAACTACTTGGGAAAGAGAAGGAGGAAGGTGAATCTCCAGGATCGCAGAAGTATCTGAAGGAAAGACTGAGGAGACAGAGCACAGCGCAGAGGGAGGAGGTAAACTCAACCCCAGCTCGGAGTGTGAGAAAGGAGTATCCATCCGAGAAAGCACAGTGAGGATGGGCGAATTCAGAGGCCTCCAGGGTGAGACAAGCCAGTGCAGCAGAGTGGTGGATGTTGCACACTGCAAGGGCAGGGAGTGTCTGCAGTCTAGGCAATAGCCATGTTGCCTGGAGAGAGAGGCTGATCCTTTGCCTTTTTTGAGAGGGGTCAACTGAACCTCGGACTCAAGGCAGCCACAGTTTAGCTTCGACTCAGGTCTCCAAGTGTGGAAATCCCACAGCAATTGGGAAAGCAAGGGCTACAGGAGACGTCCAGGGTTGGGGAGTTGTGGGCAGGCACCAATAGACATCTAGAGTGTTGCCGGCTGAAGACTCAAGACAAGAGCCCCATAGCCAGAGGCCAGTATCAATCTGAACTTTGGTGGAGTTGAAAACACCAGATTTGGTACTCTGTCCCAACCCTACTGCAGGTTTGCTGGGGTTATCTAGCGCCCTACCCTAATTCTGCTGTAGACTTCTGGGCTCTGACTTGGATGGACACTGCCACAAAATTGTAGATACCTCAAGATAACCACAGGCTTGAAGTCACAAAGAAATTTCTTCTTTTCTTTTTTTTTCCCCCTTTGGTTTGGGTTTTTTTTTCCTGTTTTATTTTTGTTTTCATTTTTTTTTTTTTTTGCTTTGTTCTTATTTTTTCCTTCTTTCTCTCCTGTCTTTTTCACAAATTTCCCAAAGCGTCAGTAATCTTCCTTTCCCCTTAGCCTTGCTTCTAATCTTATTTTTCTTGTGCTTCTCTGTATTTTTCCTCTTATCTCTTTTAAATTCTCTCCATTGAGGATAAAATCTCAGTTAAGTAGATTTTTACTGTATGTAACTTTCTGATTGGTTTTAGATTTTGTTATATAACTACAAAGCTTCTACCTAATGTTAAAGGTAGTGAATTAAGGCAACCCATTCAGGACCCCTCCTGTCTCTCAGGAGCTATTCCTATTCCCCATTTCTATGTCTCATTCCTCTTCTCCAAAAAAATTTTCCTGCTCTTAAAAAAAACAGTGGCAAATTAATAGTTTCCATAGTTGGTCATTTTCTGGACTGTGCTTGATACTATTGGTAAAACTGGTCGGACCACTTTAGCAAAGTGATTGTTGTGATCAGTCATTCTTCCTTGTACGCCAACACTGAGATTGTCTGGGAGTCATAAACAATATCATTGTCCAGTACCAATAAACTAGGTACTAACCTTTAATCCCTAACAATCTGAAAAGGCATGATCTTAGGATAGACTCACAAGCCAAAAGCCAGCTACATGTAGAAGACATCTCTGAAAAGTTATCATCTCCTAAAGAGGTCTCAGTACTATACCAAAGGTACACCACAAGCAATTAATAAGAAAAACACACAGAAAACAAATAAACAAAACAGAAAATGAGAAAACATAAAAGCAAGATACAACCCCAGACCTCCAGCTCACCCAAGGCAAATCCAGAGGTAACTGAAATGGAATGAATCAAAAGCCCCCATTTCTGAAATGGTAGCAGCAGAAAGAGCAAAGCAGATGAATGAAGTTCTAGGAAAAAAAATCAAATCTCAAATAAGAAATAATTGCATATTAGGGGCTGAGGATATAGCTCAGTGGCACAGCACCTGTCTGACAAGCACAAGATCCTCAGTTTGATTCCTAGTTCCAAAATAATAATAATAATAATAATAATAATTGCAAAGTTTACTAAAGAGATGAGAACTACCATGAAGGAAATGGCTAGTGAATCTAGGGTAGATGCACATACAAAAAAATAGATCATCTTAGGAAAGCGATAGAA